CAGGGCTGGTGTGGGTCCGCCGCCGGTGTGAGTTGGTGTCCCTGTGCCTCCTGTGGCCCCTGCTGCCCCCTGCCCAGTCCCACGGGGATGGAGGGAGGGGTGTGCGGGTGGGCAGAAGCCATGGTAGCATTAACTGAACCCCAGGGGATTAATTTAACCAAATCTGGCTAAAATTGGACGATAAGCTTGGTGTCAGGTCTGCACAAATGGGGTCAGGGGTCTGTGGATGCACTGATGGAGATGCCTGGTCAGGTCGCAGGGTGGTGCTTGGTTTGCTGAAAGGGGGGCAAAGCTGCAAGAGGTTTGTGGGGCCAGTTCCAGCCATGTAGGAGCTGGTCTGATGGTGGGACCAGTATAAAACTCCCTGTGTTTGGGTACTTGCTGAATATGCTGGTGTTAGTTACCTCTGTGATTGTACGGCTTGTTTTTTTTCCAAATCAAGGCTACAAGTGCAAAGATAAATACATGAATTAAAGCAGCTAGGGCAGAAATTCTGTACTTCATCAGCTGGGGCAGGAGGAAGGCCATCTGTGCTGAAGTTCTGTCCTAGCCCTGTCCCAAAGCACCCATTCCTGGGTGCCCGCGACTGCAGAACACTCTCTGGGTTAAGCCAGAGTCTTCTCTGTCGCAGAGACAAGAAACTCCTGAAACTGTGGAGAAAAAGAATTAAATGTTTCCTTGGAAAGATCAGAAGCAGAGCTGAGAAATACCCCAGCTTTTGCCAGCTCACATTTAGAGGAGAGCACGTGGTTTTTAAAACAACGCCATCGTTCTGGAAGGATGAGTCATGGTTTTCGAGCTGTACTCTGGATGGGAACGCTGTCTTCAGCAGACCATTCACACTGCTGTTATAACAGCTTCGGGGCTGCAGATTTGGAAAGGTATGCACAGATACTGAACCATCTCTGTGTGTTTGAGAGGATCCCGGGGGTGTCCGTAGCCCCTCCGCACCCTGCTTGGCACAAGCTCCCTCTGCAGGGGTGGGCATCTGAGCCATCTGAGGGCTCCCCGGGGTCCTGGAGGGGGGTCACAGATGTGAGCCTGTGATGTGAAGAGGAGAAGCGTGTCGTCTTCTGATTTCGACCTGTATCATGCCGCAGATGCACAAGGGGGCAGAGTTAACTTCACCATTCCCCGACCTCACAGAGCTGGAGGGAGCTCTGTCGCAAGCCCCTCGTTGTGTCTTTTTCCATGTTGTGACGTTTCTCGGTGGCCCCTGCACAGTGCGTGCTCATCCGGTGGTCCCGGCTCTGCTGAGCCCGGGAACTTCCAGCTGCATCGGTGTGATTTATTACCAGTTTTTGTTCTCCGCACTCCTGACATTTTTTTTTAGCAGATGTCACCAGTCTTTAACCCAGTGGGGAGCTTGCTGGGTAGCAACAGGGGCAAACCAAACCAGACAGTCTTTATTGGTTTATATCGCTGAAGGTGTCATTTTTTTTTTTTTTTGTCCCTTGTTGCAATATGGACTCAGAGCAGATGTGCCTCCATGGGGGATCGGCTGTTTTCACTTGTGTTGAAAGGACGTGCTACTGGAGACTGACACCGGGAGCAGGCTGCTCCGTAAGAAGGCAGAGACGCAGCTGGCAGTGGTCAGATTGCCTCCTCCGAGTTTGGTGGCTGCACATTCCCTTGGACCTGCGGCTTAGGAAAAAATCTGTCGAGGCACAAGCAGGTGGCAGGGGTGTGCAGGATGATCTTGCTGAGCTGCTTTCTTGTGAATAGGGTGGGTTTTGGGGAAGCGAGACCCCAAGTCTGAGCGGGCTGGATGCGCCATCCAGCGCTGGCAGCTGGCAGCAGAGCAGGGACTGGTTTTGCTGGGGGCTGGTGGTGGTCCCGCAGTGGGATGCCTGGCAGGGTCTGTGTTTTTTGGGAAGGACTGAGCATCCCCTGTCTGGAAGTCCAGGCTTTCTGAAGAGGGATTAAATAATCCTTGGTGAAGAGGGTGCAAGAGGGCTGCATCCCCAGGCAGGCGTACAGGATCCGGGACAGAGACGGGGTGCAGGGCACGTGCTAGCGATGATGGAGGTCACTGGGCTGTGAGTACTCCAAAGGAGGATCTCGGGGTGCTGTGAAAGGATGGGGGGAAGAAGGGCCAAGGCATGGCAGGGTAGAGCCCACCCCTCCTTCACCCCGCTCTCCCCAAGCCCTGGTTCCCATCCTGTGCACCGCAGAGCTCTGCAGTCACGGGACAGCCGGCAGAAGGGCTCGAGCCTCAAGAATTACATGAAGCTCTGTTCTCATGCCTCTTCCTTGCCTTGCGCAAAAGCATTTCCATACATGGTAGTGGTGACCTTTGGAGCAAATACTGTGTATTTTGATGGGGAACTGCACGCCTAAGTTGTTAGTCTTCTACCACCCACCTGATTCTTCACACCTAGACATTCACATGCTTTCAGCATCTTAGCCCAGCCGAAGACCCACAGCCTGACTCATGCCCTCGCTTCTGACACTGAAACACACAGAAATCTCTGATGCTGGCAGGCAGTAGGAGCAGTTTGCAAACACAAGCAGCAGCCAAGTGTTGTAGTTTGACCCTGGCTGGGGGCCAACACCACACAGCCGCTTGCTCACCCTCCCACCTCCCTGCTCCCGGGGATGGGGGAGAGAATTAAAGGGGTGAAGGGAAAAGAGACTCGTGTGTTCAGATAAGAACAATTTAGTTGCTAAACTGCAATACTGGAAATAATTATAACGATGACAATAATAACAGTAATATATATATACAAATGAGTGACACACAGTGACACTGCTCACCACCCCATGACCAAGGCTCAGCCTGTTCTCAGCCAACGATCCCAGAGCAGGGAGAGTCCTGAAACCGCAATCCCAAAATGGAGACAAGAGCCTGAGTGTCCAAGAGACAGAGACAGCCCTTAGAGAGGCGCGACCCAGAGGGAGACAACCCAAAGCAAGAGAGAGAACTTCTGGACAGAGCCTCACGTATACCCTGGCCATGCCGTGCATGGTATGGAACAGACCATTCGCCAGTTTGTTCTTAGTCCTAAACCTGAGGTCGAATCCTGGGCTGGGAACTGGGGCTGTGCTCCCTCCCAGCTTCTCCTGTCCCTGCAGACACGGGCACAGCAGAGAAGCTGGAAAGTCCTTGACTGTCCTGGCAGCAGCACAAATCCAAACACAGCCTCACACCAGCTGCTGGGAAGAGAGTTAACCCTGTCCCAGCTGACACCAGGACACCCAGCCAGGCTGAGATCTGTTTGCATGCAGTGGTTGCTCCATAAGTCAGATGCCTGTTGTGTCACTGATGCTCCATCTATGCTGCTAAACTAGAAACCGTTGGTGCACAGGCACAAATCTCATCTGGCCCATCCTGCTGTGGTTAGCACCACCCCGGCATGGTTTTGGCATGTGCATGCTGGTGTCCTCTCAGCCACTGCCTGCTAGTTGGCACTGGGGGGACATCGCTCTGCTGCTCAGCTCCAGTGCAGCCGAGATGACACAGACGATGAGAGAGCTTCCTTGCAGGGACACAGGCTGTGCTCGACCCATCGTCCAGTTTTCTCCCCTCATGCAGATGCAGCAAAAGGCTGCGTGCAGCAATGAATGCCTTGCTGCAAACTGCGGGCTCAGCGCTCACCCCCCCCAGGAAACGCCGTTGGAAGCGGGGCGGCAGAATTGGGCAGGACACCCTCAGTGAAGCACCGCACAGGATGTGAGCATCTGCTGCCCACCCACCCCTCCTTGCTGCTAAAGGGGTTTGGCAGATTTAAATATCAGCACCGAACAGCTGCATGGACCATATTTCAGATTCACTGGCACAGAGTCTTCACAGCAGCGGAGGCATTTGGGGAATTGAAACTTGTGTAGCAGGAGACCTTCCCTCCTATGAGTTGTTTTGTTTCCATTCCCAGCAACCATAACCCCACGTTGCTGTCAGCATCTGGTGTGATGATGGAGGTGCTTGTGCTTTGTTTTCTCCACTGAACTCTTTGAAAAGTGCCTTTCCTTTACACGTACGCTCAGTATATTTAAAGGCATTTAATATATATAT